ATGCATGTCATCGATCCCAATTGCGTGGACCGATGCTCATGATATTAATCACTGGGTTGTCTGGTCCAGTCTCGATTATTTACAGACCACCGTCATATAGCTGGACAATTGCTGAGTGCAGCGTTAAATAACTAACCAAACCAAACCATAACACTAACTCAGAGCCGACCAGTCCTTGTTTTCCCCCTTAATGCAGAGCGGAGGGTAAGTTAACAACAAGTACCATCTTTTAGCGCTTTTTGGTATGGTACGGTCAGGCCTAGGGGGTTCGAACCACTGACATTCCGCTCTCTTGGCAGACAGCCCCTCCACGGAATCCGCGCTGGTTTACATTCATTGACAGTTTATTCTAAATTTGTAATTTATTTTCTACAATTTTCGGCTATGAGTCAGGTGCATGCCAAGCACCTGCCACCGACATTCCCACCCCCAAGCTAGTCCTCTCCGTCCCCCTCACAACACACAAATACCCTACCCCGACCCTGCACCATCCCCCTGTCCTAGAAGTGTCGTGGATTTTGAAAGTGTACAGTCTGGTCAGAAGGAATAGGCCCCGGAGATACGGGCATGTAGGCTAGATAAGACATGATTGTTGGCATCAGAAGTTGAAATGTGTGAGGTCTGCTGCCACAGATTGGTTTATATCACTCAGACTTCTGTATATGAAGACTTCTTCCAGATGGCAGGATCTCATTACCAGGGTATATATCAGAGTTACTATGTAGGCCTGCCACGCCCTCAGGTGGGCAGGTGAGGTGAGGTGAAATGGGGTTTAACGTCGCGTCCAAGATTATTGCACTTATATAGCGACGTGCATGTACGTGTGTGTCCACTGCGTATATAACATCTCTCAGGCACCCACTCGCTGTTGCTGCTGTTTCAGAATTCTAGAAAGACTTTTTATAACTCCTGGAGGAAATAAGTAAGGGGCGGTTTTCGTACTAAGTCATCACTGGCAAGAATGTATTTGTGGTATTTATCTCACATTCAACATGAATATACATCATTCAACATGAAGAGATTGTATGGTAATGTACCCCCAATTAATTCAGTGAGGTATGCTATATATTTAAAATACGGGATATCCAAGAATGGCTATGGCCCGTGAAGATCCGGGTTAAAATGGAAATCGGAATCGGGTGGTCAGGCTCGCTGACTTGGTTGATGCAAGTCATCGTATCTCAATTGCGTAGATCGATGCTCGCGATGTCAATCACTAGATTGTGTGGTCGAGACTCGATTATCTACATACCACCGCCATGTAACTGGAATATTGCTGAGTGCGGCGTTGAACAAACAAACACTAAAGGCCTGTATTACCTTTTTGTTCACTTTCAATACAAGTGTTAAACTTTACACACTAACTCAATACAAGTGTTTAAATCTGCACACTCACTCAATAAAAGTGTTCCAATCCGAAATGCAACCCTACGGGTTCAAAGAACCGCCAAAGATGCACGTGGTGTGGAGGCGATGTGTCTAAGGGCGTTCAGTTATTCCCAGGTCAACATCCATTCACTGGAATTATTCCTAGCCTGAAATCCATGTTGTTTCAGAAGAAAATGATTTTTTACATCCACCACCTTATTTACAATATATTTTGTAAAAGCTTGTGTGCGGTTATTTTGTCACAAGGTTTTCCACAAGTATGTATTTCTATCATTACTCATGCACAAACGTTCATTAAAATTCGCCTCCATATTTATTATCGCTGCGCTCTAATAGTTTAATCAATTCATATTGACACTTGCTATATTAGAAAACAGTTTATCAAAGCTGCTACCAAATCACAGAGGATCATATTCTCATTAAACCCTGCAAATCAGGCATATATTGAGTGCTGGTGCATATCACATCTCTAAAGTCAATCTCGTCTTGAGCTCGAGTTACATGTGACTGGCCATTGATTCTCGACGAAGGATTTAGTTATACAGTCCTTCGATGTTTGTAGATGGAATACCTCAATGGAGCTTTGAAAAAAGGTACCCATTACCATATGCTTGAGGTAACATTGCATATACATATACTATTGTATATAAACTATGGAATCCAAGAAAGCACACTGTCGCTTTGACGCATTGTCGCCCTTACAAAAACAAGCAAAAAGTGTCAAAATTAACCAAAGCGTGACAACGCGACATTTTGGCCATTTGTCGCGCTTTGAATACTCTTTTTTATTTTACTTTAGGGCGACAATGCGACAATTTTCAAGGGTCAAAATATGTCGTCTTTTTCGATTAATGGTGCGCATGTGTAGTAAGTGAACTAATCTACGCATGCGCCGATATGGTTATGCTCCTTTTCACGCTCCAGTGATCTTTTGTTAGCTCCAATGGTTCTTAAAAGTTTTTCAAAGTAGCAATGGCAATGTGGTTTGTTTTTCTCAAAATAAAAACAAATCTTGCTTTAGAAATTAGTTTATATATCGTTATTGTCTGTGCCGGTTTTCATAAACCAAACGTATTTTCACAGCAAGAAACAAACACTTTGCTTTTCTATTTAATTTTATATACACATATCGACAGTCTCATACATAAGTTATATACAGCGTTCGGCTACTTCGTGATCGGTGTCCATCATTCTGTTTGAAAGATTTATGGAATCTGTTTGATATCCGCGAAGCACGCACTTGACCCAGCCAGTGGCATTTGCGTGTGTTTGGTCTTAAACGGTGCAATCTGCAGTGAAACCATTAGTGTTGGAATCGTAAACCTCGGAGCGTCTGGCTGCAGGCCGACATGTTGCTTTACAACTTGTGATTCTGTTTGTTTAGCGAGGGGGGTGGCTGTTTGGGATAACTGAATGCTCAGATCCGCGTATTTGTTTGCCTGAGAGGTGGTTATATTGTCAAACAAAGTGCCATTTTGATCCATCAATAAAAGCATGTATTCAGTTTATAGGAAATTCAGACTTACTCTTACGAAATGATGACGAATCCCCCCCCCCCCCCCCCCCCCCCCCCAAGGCTTGTTGCATCAGGTAACCATGGAAACGTGTTACCCGTTTTAGCTACAGTCAGTGCTAGTTATCATCACCGCGTTGCTAAGAGATAATGATGTTCAGATTCAACAAAATGACAAAACAAACAAAAATGGTAAAAGTTGAAGAAACTTCTGCTGAACCGTTCTCTGTGATTATGTGGATTTATTGCTTAGTTCACCGATTTTTACTGCATGGACACAAACTGGGCACCATTCCCATGGTTAGATCTGAGAAGACCCCCTGTGGAGATTCCGCGCCCCAAGCGCCCAATGCTTATGGTGAGAACCGACTAGAATAAGGATCCAATGCGTGACGTGGCTATTTGTGTGTCCCCCCACTCGAAGATATAGACCTCTGACTCAATTTATTTTTATGCCTCCCTCATAGCTTGGGTAATACTGATTGCGCCCTAAAACAGCATTCGTTCACCGACTCAGAGAAGATGATCCATATACGCCCTGCGTTGCTAGGACACAGTTTTTGTTTTGTATGTTGTTGAACGCCGCACTCAGCAATATTCCAGCTGTGTGACGGCGATCTGTAAATAACCGAGTCTGAACCAGACTATCAAGTGATTGACATCATGAGCAACGGTCTGGTATGCGATGACATGCATTAACCAAGTCGCCTTTTGACACAGGTGGTCAAGTCGCCTAAGGCACAGGAATTCGTTATGCACGTTGCGTGCCTTTTTGTGCAAGAATCCTATATGATCGTGGGGACAATTCCGAGATCTGTGTTCGTGGATTTCACCAAAGTCATCACTCAGACTTTCCTCCTACATTCGGCTGACACCTTGATAAAAGAAGTGGCACTAAATACATAAACACACGTAATATTAAATTGTTAGCAAGTGTACTTGCACTTTGGGAATATGATGTTCAAAAATATGAATAATTGCTTGAGAAAATAAACAGTTAATGAAATAATATCAAAGCGGCGTTAAAACCAACTCACTCATGCGTTTTGGTATGTGAAGCCTGTGCATGTTAACGACTAGTCTTGCGCCATGACTTTGGAATATATATATTTACAAAATGTCCAGGAAAGTCGAGATCAAACTGAACCAAGTCTAATTTCTTTGATTCCACAGCTTATGAGGTGAGGTGAAATTCGGTTTAACGTCGCGTCCAAGATTATTGCACTTATATAGCGACGTGCATGCACGTGTATGTGTGTGTGTGTGTGTGTCCACAGCTTATGAAAACAGCAGAAGAGGAAAGGTTCTTTGGAGAAAAAAAAATACAATTCTTATGAAGAAATGTTTCCATAGACCACAGACCATATAATAGATAGAATTCTATTATATGATCTGCATAGACTAAGTGTTAGGCTAGTTAACGACGATCCAGAAGTGATAAATATCAGCAGACTCGCACCTCGTCAGCCTTCTTGCGGCTGTTGAGGAATAGCTGTGGAAACAGCCTGACGAACTGACGGCATTTTGCAGTTTATTGCTATCTTTCATTGGTCAGGGCCAATAAAACCACTTTCTTACTGCCTCGTATAAGTTAGGCAAGTGATTTATATGTGAAAAACCCATATTTGCAGATCCTGACTCTCTTTATTTCTAACTAATTTCACACCTGCATCAGCTCAGCTCTAATGCATCCTGCTCTGTGATTTACTTTAATGGTGATCTCCTCTACAAGTCATGATACCTGTTTCGTTTTTTAAGTCATTTGCCTCCCCGATCCTTTGATTTCAGCCATATATGCAACCTCAATCAAAGACCTTACCACGCGATGACTTAAACAAAAATAAATTAAAACCAGATATAACAACAACAAACAAACAAACTATAGACCTATACAAACAAACAAAATAGCACAATTAATTAACATGTTCATGTTGTCACACTCGGGATTCGAACCCTCATGTTTGATGTCTTCAAAGACTTGTACACCTTTGCGCCGGAAGTAGCCTACTCGCTCCTGTCCCTCGCGTCATCTGCTAGTAAACAGCTGGGACAGTCAACATGTGCCCGCTGGTATTATTGTGCTATGACAGCTGGGAGACAAATGGCATGTTTATTGAATATCGAATATAGGATGTTAGTGACTAGGTCTGTCTACGTATACTGTTAGGGAAACCATTGAGGGCCGAGAAAACCAGTTTTGTAGGAAGTCACCGATGCGACATCGTGTTTGTCAGACTGACTGACAGAACTGAAATTGCTGAAAATACAGGTGTTTTGCAAACAACTTCAAGATAGAACTTTGGATTGGATTTAATCAATTAGGTATGTATGTCGAACAGTGCGGTGTAATTAAACAGGAGAATCCGGGTTTAGATAGGTATTAGTGTTAATAATACATTTTAGGCTAGGGTTGGATCAATACATATATCGAGATACGTTGCGTCTTGATCACCTATATGCCTCTATGACTTCAAACACAGAGCGCACGTATGAGCCTTATTTGTGAATCATGTGTAAGTGTATGAAAAAAACATGAATTCTTTTAGTTGTCACTGAAACATCCTCAACCTGTTTATATTTATCTTGTCCAAAGCAAGAATCTTAATTGTTTCTTTTCATATATGTTTTGGTCAGTTTGAATGGAGGCAGGATGCAAAATGTAATATGAGTATAAGTGAGTGTTGTTTTACGCCGCTTTCAGCAATATTCCAGCAATATCACAGTGGGGGACACCAGAAATGGGCTTCACACATTGTACTCATGTCGGGAATCGCCGTGACAAGCAAACGCTTTAACCAATGTATGGCCCATTTGGAAGATTTAACCAATCGTGGGGTTTGTTATAAATAGGACAATGGGTTGCTGAAGACCTATTCTACCCCGGATCTTCACGGGTCTCTTATTTTGAACAGCCTTTATTTTTTTAAGTTTGTGTAGCAGAATTACTGTCCTTGTTAATATTATACCTCTCTTGGTTTTCTCTTGGTATTCTCCAAATTTAAGCTCTCCTTAATAAACTTCAAGACCAATCTGTAAGTAAGCTTTTTGAGCAGCCCTAACCAACTTTTCGACCACTTTCTGTCAGTAATCTATAAAAGCACCTCCAAACCAACTTCTAGACCAATCTGTATGTAATCTTTAAAAGCACTCCAAAATCAACTTCTAGACCAATCTGTATGTAATCTTTAAAAGCACCCCAAAATCAACTTCTAGACCAATCTGTATGTAATCTTTATAAGCACTCAGTTCTAAGCCCACAAATTTACATGACGATCTGTATTTTCTCATACATATTACAGATATTTTTTACAGAAAACACAGAAGTGCAGAAGGGGTATATAGTTGCCTAGTAACTATTACCGAAAACATTTTCGTTTCATTGAAGTTTGAACTATGTCTGTCTTCAACCACTCTATCTCTGACAAGCAGACCCCTCTGTCTCTTGTCAAAACGCCGGAGGAATCCGGTACATGAAATGATTGATGATGAAATCCCAGCTGACACCCAACACTTATGTTAATATCAGACTTAAATAGCTTCATTGAGAATATGTTCACATGAACCTCATTATTTAAAAATATAGTAAGAGACAGGTCACAAGAATTTTTAATATATTCATGCTCAGATTCGCTAGATAATCTCTTTTTACAAGTAAATCTGCTCAAAATTTTTGACAGAAAAGGTAAAAAAATAACAAAAGAAAAAATGCTATGAATGTAAGCTTATTTGAATCATCTTTCCGTTTGAGTTTTTAAAAAAATTAACTTAAAACTCGACCCCAGACCACCTTGAGTGAGTTTTCAACAAATCCAAGTTTTAAACAGGTTCTCCATCGCTTTCAGCTAGGGCAAAGAGGAAACAGAATGGAGGCAGGCGTGTTATACAAGTGAGGGAAATGGGGGTTTTATCAATGGAGTATACTTGTTATTTGCTCATCTAAAGCACGTTAAGGGTCAGAATGACATTCACAAAATAAATTTAGCATTTGTATTGTGGTGGTTTGTTGACACGTTACACATAAAAACCTGTGAGGTATCTCATTTGTAGACTGCAGCTTGTGGACGATGTTGCCTGTGGTTAGGTGGTCCCAGTTGATGTCACCCAGATACTAGGGTAAGTTATTTTGTCAGGTAATATGTCTTACTGACAAATGACAATGTATAAGACATGTTGCTGTTGATGTAAGGCTGGTATCTGATGTAGTAGCCTGTTTACACCACAGAATTGGCATTTCAGAATCATATGCTTTGTATGTTTGTTGGTATAATGCACACTCAGCAATATCCAAGCCGACAGCCTGTTGATAATCAAGTCTGGACAATCTAGTGATTGATATTGTGAACAACGTTTTACACTCTCGCAGTACGATGACACATTATCAACCAGGAGTCAGGTAGCCTAGTGGTTTAAGCGTTCGCTCGTCATGCCGAAGACCCGGGTTCGCTTCCCTACGGGGGTAATGCTATATTGGTGGCCGAGTGGTGCAAGACTTTGGCTCGATTCCCGACATGGGTACAATGTGTGAAGCCCATTTCTAGTGTCCCCAGCCGTAATATTGCTGGAATATTGCGACAAGCGGCATAAAACCATACTCACTCACTCACTCATTATCAACCAAGTCCCCATGTCTGATCCATTTGGTCAACTCTTCTGACCAGCTCAGGTCATATGCAGATATGTGGGGTTCACCAGGAAATCTAGAAAATTCAGACAGTGGTATTCAGGAAAGGTGGACGTTTATCCAGAAATGAAAATGTTGTATACATCCATGGTAGGGCTGGGACGAGTCCAAATTTAATACCCGGGTACCCGATCCCCTATTACCCGGCCCTACCTGGATACCCACTACAGGTCTCAAGAGTTGGAAACAAATTAATGTCTGAAGCTTTATCTTTACTCAGGCCTATACAAGTTGAAAGGAATGTGTGCATCGTCAGAGTGAGTGAGTGAGTATGGTTTTACGCCGCTTTTAGCAATATTCCAGCAATATCATGGCGGGGGACACCAGAAATGGGCTTCACACATTGTACCCATGTCGGGAATCGAACCCTGGTCTTAGGCGTGACGAGCGAACGCTTTAACCACTTGGCTACCTGACCGCCCCATGGGCATCGTCAGAAATAAATGGAAACATAACCACTGAGCTATAGTCATCAAGCAATATATCACGTGACTAACCACGGGTCTGGGTAGTCCTGTGGGCACCCGGGTCCTACTCAGGACCCACCCGACCCGAGTACTCGAGTTACCCGTCTCAGCCCTAATCCATGGACTTATCGTCAGGACAGCCTTGGAGCAAGGCTAAGCTACACGCTGTGAATGAAGTTCTAGGTTGGTTGGTTGGTTTGTTGTTTAACGCCGCACTCAGCAATATTCCAGCTATATGACGGTGGTCTGTAAATAATCAAGTCTGGACCAGACAATCCAATAATTGAAATCATGAACATCAATCCACGCAATTGGGATTGATGACATGCATCAACCAAGTCAGCGAGCCTGACCACCTGATCCCGTTAGTCGCCTTTTACAGCAAGCATAGTCACCTTTTACAGCAAGCATTGTCGCCTTTTACAGCAAGCATAGTCACCTTTTACGGCAAGCATAGTCACCTTTTATGGCAAGCATAGTCGCCTTTTACAGCAAGCATAGTCACCTTTTACAGCAAGCATAGTCACCTTTTACGGCAAGCATAGTCGCCTTTTACAGCAAGCATAGTCACCTTTTACGGCAAGCATAGTCACCTTTTACGGCAAGCAAAGTCGCCTTTTACAGCAAGCATAGTCACCTTTTACAGCAAGCATAGTCACCTTTTACGGCAAGCATAGTCACCTTTTAAGGCAAGCATAGTCACCTTTTATGGCAAGCATAGTCACCTTTTACAGCAAGCATAGTCGCCTTTCACAGCAAGCATAGTTGCCTTTTACAGCAAGCATAGTCACCTTTTACAGCAAGCATAGTCACCTTTTACAGCAAGCATAGTCACCTTTCAAGGCAAGCATAGTCACCTTTTATGGCAAGCATAGTCACCTTTTACGGCAAGCATTGAAGTTCTAGGGTCAATGTGGAGCATGAATATGACATCGAATCACAGTAATAGTAAACTAGGACAGACAAGTGCGTTGAATGTTCTGGAACAAGGTGCTGTAGTACAGGTTGTAGTGACTGTGTGTTCACCAGGTATTGAGAGGCTGTGAAGTGGCTCACTCACCGTGTGCCATATTGTTCCTGGTGGCAACCACTGGGACATGGGAACTCAATCAAAGTGGTGTCATTTGATACAGATTGCTCACAATAGCTTGGGTGAAGTGTAAATATTTATTTTGTGAATTTGAGCTTCTGTTATTCCCATTTGAGTTCTATCACACAATGAGTCTTACATAGTCGCACATGTTGTTCTGTAAAGTGAAACTACCGGGTGATATATCAAATACTCTTCACACAGCATAATGGCCCTGGAATGGATTTACTAAATGGAAAGCACTTGTTTGTCAGTAAAATACCCAGAATGACAGCATTGTATTTTTGAATTAACACAAGGGAATAAATGAATTTTACAGAATATTTCAGAATATTTTTTTATAATGTGTTTATTACATCAGAGTGATAATAGTGCTCAAGAGTGATCAGTGTCAAAATACAAGTCACCTCAAGTAAAATCAAGTACATGTACTTTAAGAAAAAAAATGATTAGATATTGGTCATTTATTTTTGTTTTTAATGTTTCTTTGGGTTTTTTTAATGTCTTTTGTTGTTTTTTGGGGGAGGATTCAGAGGGAATCAGAGGAGGGTCTCCAAAAAAAATGACAGTCTCTAGGGAAGGGTAATAAAAAATATTACACATATTTGTGGAGAGCCTGTACATAAGTCCATAAAAAACCTCTGACACATCGATCCCTTAAAGGAATATGTTACAAACAATCTAATTAAAATCAGATCTAAGTTCTCGGTGCCGCTAAACAAAGATCTGAGGACATCCCATTACGGGTCACGTCAAATCGACCTTTCGCGAACTCTGACCGACCAATGGAATTACTGACAAGAAGTCGACATTAGCCAATCAGATGGCAGCTTTCTTGTGCTTTACGTCACAAATTGCAAACTGGCGACTGCGCTTCGAAACATATTTTGACAAATTCTCTCTTAAAAATTAGAAACCTGAACAAAAGAACATTCTCGAATGGCTAATATATGGTCTAGATTGTATAGATTCAGTCGTTAAGCCCGCAACTATCGTTCAGAATACCCCATTTTAAAGTTTTCAAGGCTGCATGATCAGAAATCACATTCCGACTGTCACTTTCATGATCTGGTAAGTGACGCTCTGATTGGTCGGATGAAAGGTCTTTCTGACATGACCCCTTATGGGATGTCCTCAGATCTTTGTTTAGCGGGTGTAAATGCTGTGTCCAGTCACTGGGCTATATGTATTCTGTGGAATCAATTTCATGAGCTGACTTGGTTGATGCATGTCATAGTTACCCAACTGCATAAACGATGCTCACGATGTCAATCACTGGATGGTCTGGTTCAGACTCGATTATTTACAGACCGCCATCATATAGCTGGAATATTGCTGAGTGCAGCGTTAAACAACCAACAAACATCAAAATAAGAATATGTTCACATAACTTGTTCTTTTTCTAACTTTTGCAAAATGTATGTCTGTTCTAGGCTATGTATGAAGTATTTTGAGTCTACATTATTTATATTCAATGGAGTATGACTAATTATTCAAATAAATATATTTTACAATAGGACATTGTTATGTCATGACTCTCCACATATCCTGTTGCGTGTTGACCTGTTTCACAATGGTAACACTTCTACTTACAGCGCTGACGGGCAACTGTGACAGAAGACTGTGGCAGTGTCAAAGTGAGTGACAGTTGTGGGACTCCGTTGCCACGGTGATTTTTGTGACGAGGCACAAGAGGTTAATGACCTCTGTGGCATGTGGTGACAAGGTCACTGTTCTGAATGACAGTAATATTCTTCTGTTTTGAAAGAAAAGAAGTCCTTTGTGATATAAGAATTGGCAGAAATTTAATTTTCAATGATTAGTGGATGAATCACACTGACTCTTGTAAACCTGTCACTTATAGCACAATAGTCTCAATATATATGTGCAAAGTGTATTCTTGGAAAGAGGAACATGTAGGATTGTGTAGAGAGGACTGAAACAGGAAGTGAGCACATGACATTAATCTGACCTCTGACCTCTCAGGGGTACCCGGTAGTAGAAACTTTGGATTGGTATCTTTGTGCTGAGTTGACTAAAATACCACTGACTATTGTAAAATATAAGTTTATGATTTGTCAGTGACATTCCTACAAGGGGTAAAGAGATAGTTATTAAAGCCAGCTATATGGCATGGAACAAAGGACTGTAGTGCTCTACTGACTGTATCTGTCCGGAGGGTTTGTGAGGACTTCCTATTAAATGACATTGTGTTGGTGCTATTGACCCGAGACATTAGAGTGACATTGATGAATCTGCTTACACGCAGTTTGCCAATATCAGGAGCTAGAGTGGAAATTGTGACTGTGGTGTAGATTTATCTTAATTATTAGAAGCCTCGTCTCTCCATGGTTTGTCAGAAATATTGCATTTTTATAACATTATCATGTTATTCAGTGCCACACAAGGGATAGTGTATGAAAAAAGCCTATGTCATTAGAGCTAAGTCCTCATGCTATGCCCTTCAGCTGTGCCCTAAAGCTGTGCCCTAAAGCTGTGTCCTTAAGGTGTGCCGTAAAGCTGTGCCCTAAAGCTGTGCCCTAAAGCTGTGTCCTTAAGGTGTGCCCTAAAGCTGTGCCCTAAAGCTGTGTCCTTCAACTGTGTCCTTAAGTTGCATCCCTAAGCTGTGTCCTTAAGTTGCATCCCTAAGCTGTGTCCTTAAGTTGCATCCCTAAGCTGTGTCCTTAAGTTGCATCCCTAAGCCGTGTCCTTAAGTTGCATCCCTTAGCTGTGTCCTTAAGTTGCATCCCTAAGCTGTGTCCTTAAGTTGCATCCCTAAGCTGTGTCCTTAAGTTGCATCCCTGAGCTGTGTCCTTTAGATGCATCCCTGAGCTGTGTCCTTTAGATGCATCGCTGAACTACTGTGTCCTTAAGCTGTGTCCTTGAATGTGTGGATCAAAATTTCGGAATATACCAGTTTTCGTGGATCCTGATAAGGAGCTGCTATGGCATTTGTGAAGAAGCGGGAGAGAATGTCGAATCAAAGCATCTCGGGTGTGGGGCTCTCCAAGCGGGAGATCAAGAAAAACTACAAGTACCTGGTCCGGAGCTTGCTGACCGAAGCTGAGAAGGAGTTCATGTACCGCTGTGCCAAGAAGTACCAGCGATCACGTCACATCGAGATCTTCTGCCAGGAACTCGTACAGATCATCAACACCCCGGGCAAGCTTCGCCTCATGCCCTACATTCGCACCATCCTCTCCGAGTTTGACAAACACGACTTTGACAAGTTTGTTGCCAGGCTGGACTATAAGCTGGAAGGAAGAACCGACTTCACCATCAGATCGAAACCTGACACCTACTCTCACGCACCATGTAAGTATTGCCTAATGTTTCATCTCTTTTTTCACTACTTCCCCTGAAGATCTTGGTTACAATTGGCCTTCAGCAACCCATACTTGTCATAAACAGTATCTAACGGGATCAGGTGGTCAGGCTCACTGCTGTGGTTGATGCATGTCATTGTATATTGAATAGATGATGCTCATGATGTCAATCACTGGATTGTCTGGTCAAGACTTGATTATTTTCAGCCAGCCATCATATAGCTGTAATATTGCTGAGTGAGGTGTTAAAAAATATACAATATTCGCCTTACCCCCCACCACTTAGCTAGACAAATAGTGGAGGGGTGGACTGGCTTGAGCAGACTGTGATCTGTCACACAAGGTCGTGATCTGTAACACAAGGTCGTAAGAGACTATCACACACCTGTCATGACTTCGGCCAAGGAGGAGACGTTTTTTCACAAAACTGCAAGCTTGTTAAAAGTAAGTTGTAAGCCTACTGCCACTCAGGGCTAATTGGGATGTGAGTGAGTGAGTGAGTGAGTGAGTATTGTTTTACGCCGCTTTTAGCAATATTCCAGCAATATCACGGCAGGGGACACCACAAATGGGCTTGACACATTGTACCCATGTCGGGAATCGATCCCGGGTCTTTGGCGTGACGAGTGAACGCTTTAACCACTAGGTTCCCCGACCGCCCCAATTGGGATGTGAACTGAAGTGAGTGCTGCAGTCTGATTGTTGTGAAAGGTTGTTATACTGGATTAGAACCCGGAATCTTCCAAACGTTTTTTGATGCATATGAATATGTTTCTTGTATTTTCTTGTATCTGTTTTTAATTAACGCTGTTAAGTTGGGGGTGGGGGAGCAAACTATTTTTGGGGCATCAATTTCTCTGTAATGTCCACAAATCTAACACACATGCTTTTCTCATAAAAGTTTTTCATTTCAGAAAAATCAAATTTAACAAAGAGTTTATATGAGTGTCAGTAACATGAAGTTCAAATTGCCAAACCTATTATTCTCAGGTAATAATCCTACCCATTTTAATTACCTTTAGGACAGCATTATTTTCACTAAATACTTTAAATAGTCAGAATTATAAGAGATATAGTCAAATATAACATAAAGAATCACCGTCAGATAATTTAATACCAGACTCAATTATCCAATGAAACACTTATTCGGCATAAAAGGCAAAATAGCAGTGAAATTTGATATATACTAAACAAAAAAGTTAGGGATCAATAATATTTTCCAATATTTTTTTGTAGTGAAGACTTAGCACACAATTTCATAAAAACATCCCCAAAACAATCCCAATCCCTAATTTATTGTTCAGTTTATACGAATGGATGACTGAAAAATCAGTGACGACACCAGGCTAAACAGAACAAGTTAGGGATCATTAATATTTTTTTTGATATTTTTCTGAAATTGTGTGCTCAGTTTCACTCCAAAAATATTCATGATCCCTATGCAATATTAGCTTATATGACTTTGTAATTACATGTATATCTAGTACAGAGGGTAATATGTGAATTTCATGTACACTCAGTTAAAAATGATATATTCTTTAAAACATTTAATTGATATCCTCCCTCACACCCGTCATCCACACTCCCTCACTCACCCCACACACTGTCACAGTGCAGAGTTGTTGGGACTGGCTTGCTATTCACTGCAGAATACCTGAATGAACCGATATTAAAGAGAACCCATTACAGATTTGATGAATGATGTGAAGAACGTTTATGAGAATGAATGATAAAAACCTTCTCACAACTTAAAGAAGCAGTTTCCTGCCTACTCCCACCTTTGGTCTCCCCCCTCATTATTCAGTGGGATCATGGACAGGACAGGCATATGGTAATCTCACCTTAGAAAGGCTGCACAAGTTGTTATCCCCTACGCTTGATATTCTATTGAATATAAGTGCCCCAGTAACTCTGATTATTGTTATGAAGCTGTTGAGTATGAGTTACAGGTATCAGGTGTTTCTGTGATTGAGGCCAGAGGGGGCAGTTCAAGGTGTGGTACGGCATTTTTTTATAATGCCACAGAGTATCAGAGACCCCTGAAGATCCGGGGTAGAATAGGTCTTCAACCAACCCATGCTTGCGACTATGCTTGTCGTAAGAGGCGACTAATGGGATCGGGTGGTCAGGCTTGCTGACTTGATGTCAATCACATGATTGTCTGGTCCAGAGTCGATTTACAGACCGCTGTCAAATAGCTGGAATATTGCTGAGTAATGCGTAACACAACAACAAACAAATGTGTATCAGATTGGAATCTAAGTCATGAAAATGTCACATGTTTTTTAAAATAATTTTTTTTTAAAATAGAGCTGAAGTATTTTGCACTTCGACAGCACGATGTCAACACAAGACATGTGTTCTACTCATAAGAAGATAAAGACCACCCGATTCTTTCACATTACTATGGTTAATCTGTCATGGCACGATGGACGATAGTAATATAAAAGAATTGGATGGTCCTTAACTTCTTTTAAGTAGTGTATGTAACTGTCAGGCCTACTGTCCATGGAGTGCACAGTAATAACGAAAAGTAAAGCACAAATCTGACTTGTTTCTGTTACGTCCTTCCGGGTACCCATAAGATTGTATGGAGGAATATTCCACTTGCCAAGGGGTACCATGAAAGAGGGTAGATGAATACCAGTGTTGATGAACCACTTCTGAGCCTCACATACAAGGAATTGCATTATAGTGCAAGATTTTGTTGTGGACATTATATGATGTCAGGAGTTCTTAAACACTGCATGTACATCACGTTTGAGGACCGACTCCGTGGTCTAGTGGTAGAGCGTCCGCCCGGAGAGCGGAAGTTCCGGGGTTCGATCACCGGCCGCGTCATACCAAAAGATGTTAAAAGATGGTACTTGTTGTTACCCTGTCTGGCGCTCAGCATTAAGGGGCTAAAACAAGGACTGGTCGTCTCGGAGTCAGTGTACTGTGTCTGAGTGGGGTATTCATAGTAAAACTGTGGCATGGTATCTCAGTTGGCTAGCACTATAAATCGGCACCAGTCCGGACTAGTACAAGCACACACACACACACACACACACACACACACACACACACACACACACACACACACACACACACACACACACACACACACACACACACACACACACATGCATGCACGTCACTATATAAGTGCAATAATCTTGGACGCGACGTTAAACCCAATTTCACCTCACCTCAATGGACGTTTGTCCATTTTCCAAAGCTTAGTTTACTGACTGTTGTCACAGCGAAACAGTTTGCTCAGTTAACTCAAGTTTTTATGGCTATACCTCTGTGACATTGTCAACGATGATCAGTTCCGCACTGAATCAGTTCCATCCGGAACAAATATTGCAACATCTTCCCAAGGCAAGGGAGTTAACTCACTGTAAAAGTCCAGTTACAACCCTTGCCAAACTATATTGGAATTTCCGGTCTCAATTGTAGCGCCACCAGTGACTATTAAAAGTTATGTCCCTCCTACTGACCAATCAGATTCCACCTCTCATATCACTTGCATTTGCTTCAAACAAAATGGCTTACCTTGCAAAGTGTATCAAATCCCATGAGCACCTATGAAAAGATTTTGAAAATATCTGTCTATGCTGAGTTGGCAGTACACATGCTATACAAATCCTGCAATTTTGATTGGACTGTGCATAAACTCAGTCCAGCCAAAATATAACTTCATAATTGCAGCCTTGTTTGGCAAGGATGGAAACTGGACCTTTAAAGTCAGTTAACTCCCTTGCCTCGGGAATACGATATTGCAAGTGTAAATTTATTTTGGAACATTTTTCCAAGTAAAAAAAAGATTTCACGACATGTATTACACAAAGTTCACTTTCAATTTGAGGCTCAGAACTAATCATTGAACCCTCATATATCTGGTTGTAACAACCTAACCACACACACTGACCCATAATCACTTAAAGAAATCACTCAAAGTGTTTTGAGACCTTCCCCATAGTATTAGTATTCGAAACACTGCAATAATCATAATTGTATCAGTCCAAATTACAACTGTATATCTTGTCCACTGAACTCGGTCATGCTACACGCCCCCACAGGCTGTCGTATTGGGATTCACTCAGCCGGATCACTTCTCAGGCCTCGGACTCGTAACCTCTTTTGTGTCCCCATGTAGACTACCTCGATACGTTACACACGCGACAGAGAACCGTACACACGCCACAGAGAACGTTGCACACACCACAGGGAAGCCTCGGGCACAGAGCCAGTGGTTCAAGTATTGACAGAGGAGTTAGTTCAGGGAGATTAAGCGATCATACCAGCTGGGAACATACAAGAATATAATCCCTAAATGGTAAGTTTGTTGATTCTGTTTTGTTTGTTTGTTGTTTAACGCCACACTCAGCAATATTCTAGCTATATGATCACGGTTTGTAAATAATCGAATCTGAACCAGACATTCCAGTAACTGACATCATGAGCATGGATCTGTGCAATTGGGATACGATGACATGCATTAGCCAAATCAGCGAGCCTGACCACCCGATCCTGTTAGTTGCATCTTATGACAAGCTTCGGTTGCTGAAGGCTAATTCTTACCCGGATCTTCACGGGTTTGTTGATTGTGAGGGTCGTTACATTTTGGCTACAAAATTCAGTATTGGCCAGTTGTTATCCTATTACTGTATCTGTGATTATCTTCCTACCCATTGGAAAATGTTAGAACTTACTTATGTAGAGCCATCGTCATAGAGCTGGAATATTGCTGAGTGCAGCATTAAACAACAAACTTACGTCAGTGTAAGTATGAGTTGAGGATAAATGCCTCCACTTTAATTATGTACCAGGTTACATCCTTCCTTGTCAGATTGCTGACAGTGTTAACCTCCTTGGTCATATGGGGGCGGTCGGGTAGCCTAGTGGTTAAGGCGTTCGCTCGTCAAGCCGAAGACCCAGGTTCGATTCCTGACACGGGTACAATGTGTGAAGCCCATTCCTGGTGTCCCCCGCCGTGATATTGCTGGAATATTGCTAAAAGCGGCGTAAAACCATACTCACTCACTCCTTGGTCATATGGACAAAGTGTCTGACCCTCATCAGAAGTCCTTGTCGTAAGTGGCAACTAACGGGATTGGGTGGTCAGGCTCGCTGACTTGGTTGATGCTTGCATCGTATCCCAATTGCGTGGATGGATGCTCATGATGTCAATCACTGGATTGTCTGGTCCAGACTCAATTATCTACAGACAACCGTCATATGGCTAGAATATTGCTGAGTGCGGCTTTAAACAACAAACAAAAAAACAAAACATCATGTCAGGGTAGGAGGAATGACTAGCCACTGAGATCAAAGATATGTTGCTGGTAGACAAAGGATTATATAATCAGAGAAAACATGAGAACCTGGAATTCAAACCTTGATCAATGCAACTAAGGGAAGCAACTCTGCACAGTGAATTATGTGCCCTTAGGCAACTCGTCCACTCTTGCCGACCTTCAACAGTTAGTAATACAAATGATGAACCCAGTCGTGTGATTTACACCATTCTCATGTGCCCAAAGAGAATGAAAACATTTTTCAGATCACAACATTTTATGTTTTCCTCAAATTTATTGCAAATACGACTTTAATTTTCAAGCATATCTGTTAAATGTCTTTCAAAAGTTTATCTTGTCACACGGTTATCATGTACTGAGTTACCGTTGTAAAATCTTATTTCAAGTTTTAGTAATAACCACATGACAAGTAATTTAAAAATCTGACACATTTACATATGATCTAGACGTAGAGTGTAAACAGAGCATGCAATGTATTTGATAAAAATAAATGGAGGCATGTAGTTGCTTTCTCCTCTGCTTACACACTAGAAATGGTGCCCGGAGGTCAAGGTTGTTTGAATTTTGAAGTTAAAAGAATAAAAAATTAGATGTAGCAAACAAACTGATAGACATGTCAAACACCTGTCTTTCCTGTAGTTTATGTAATAATAAAAATGTTTCTTATCTAAATATTTTCTGAATCATGCATTATTTTGAAATTTTATCCATATTTATCAAGAAAAGCTATGTGTTTTTGTAAACGCAAGTTTATGATATTTCAAGTATCTCTCATAAAGAGAGTAGCATTACATATTTAGAATGTTCAGAGTCACGGCAGTCTTGCCCGCCCTTCCTATCATGACATGTATAGTTTATATTCCGAGGAATCTGTGTATTTTTGTAAACCCAGATGTAAATCTGGGAGAGTTTGTTGAATGTTACTGTGTGTGAAAGTAAATAGATGAGCCTGTGTACCGCAGTACACCTAACTCTCATAATCTTCACATAATCTGACTAGACTCGGCAGGTGGGGTTGGCCTGAGAAATTTGCAGGGGGGGGGAGTCTTGTCCCCCATCTAATTAGTGTACAAAGAAACATTGTTTGCGGTCTATTCGAAATGAAGTATAATCGGATTAAAGCTGCATAAATTATTCAGTAGAAAGCCAAGCATACCAAGATAGAGAAAAACTCTTGTTGTGAAGATCATGTGACAACTTGTGTCATTATGCCATAAATTATTCTCTGATTGTACTGGGTAAACAGCAAGTGTATATCCGGGTATATTCTCCACATTGTGATGTCACAGACACAGGTGAATACGGGATATATTCACTAGGGTGGACCAGCTCACCCCATCCATTGTTCATTGTCAACATGTTTATTATTTTCAAACTTGCTTTACCGACTGTCTCTCTATTAGATCCTGAATGGTTCAATGGTTGCTATGGTAACACTTTAAATGTCTTCAACTTCAGATTTGACAGTTTAATAGAGGTGTTTTATTCCTATCTTGGTAGTAGAATAAGTAACAATAAGTAGGTTTTAGTCATGAATTATGTTTTTCTTGTCAGAAAATGATATGTAGAAATATTAGAGATAAATGGTATTGTTTTATGTGGTTCTTGGTACAATAGTGTTTTGCCATTTCATTACTATAATTTCTGCATAATAATTTGTTATTTATCTTAGACTAATGCAGACAAATTATGAAAATATGATAAGAATTGATAGCAAGTTGTGAACCGTCTCTATCAGGCCTTAAAGTAAAGGCGGGATAGAATAGGTCCTCAGCAACCAATGCTTGGTGTAAGAGGCGACTAACGGATTGGGTGGTTAGGATCGCTGACTTGGTTGATGCATGTCATTGTATCCCAGTTGTGTAGATCAGTGCTCATTATATCAATCACTGGATTGTCTGGTCCACACTTGATTATTTACAGACTGCAATCATATAGCTGGAATATTGCTAAGTAAGGCGTTACACAACAAACAAACAAACAAACAAACAAACAAACAAACAAACAGTGTAGATGTATGGATAAAATATGAATGAATCATCAACACTTGATTGTCTGGCATGCAATGTTGATACAGAAATACAAGTATCACTACATATAATGGTGCCTTTTCATTTTGTATTCAGAGTAGTCCTGTATTGGGGGCAAATATTTGATCCATATACATAATGTCTGTGATAGGCATGGGTATTGTTAAATAAGTGATACGAGATATAAAATGTCACGCTTTATATTTCGAGCATGGCCAAACCCCCAACACTACAGCGACACAATCGGGTGTGTTTGCAATAGACAGCCAGTGACATCTACCTGCTCGGAACCCAATAACGAGGGCCTGTCAATCCATTCAAGGCATGTTTTTGTGTAGGACAAAACACGATTATGGCAGAAAATGGGTGTGATATTGTCCTTTATCCTTGCTAGAACTGTATGGGTCGAAGTATAGTGCCTTGTGTAACTAACTGTCCTCTTTTGTAGCTGTGAGGTCAAGTATTCCCAACGGACGGTCGGACCTCCGTGTAGTTGTCATACCCCATAGAGACGAGAACCTTGGCTTCAGCATACGAGGTGGCTCTGAACACGGACTCGGGATATTCGTCAGCGAAGTCGACGACGGGTCAACTGCAGGTGAGTTGAACGTAGGAGACACAGTGACACTTCTACTGTAGTGTGTGTGTGATGACTGGTTGACTTATAGGGTGAGGGTTGACTGGTTGAAGTGAGTTGGGGGTTGATTGAAGACATCAATCCTGTAACATTAGTACTGTTGTTGATTGAGTGTGATACCGATTACAGAGTGAGGTGGATTTTACACCGCTTTTAGCAATATTCCAGCAACATCACGGCTGGGGACACCAGAAGACCTGGGTTCGATTCCCGACATGGGTAAAATGTGTGAAGTCCATTTCTGGTGTCCCCCGCCGTGATATTGCTGGAATATTGCTAAAAGCGGCGTAAAACCATACTCACTCACTATTAGAATGTTGTGTACCATCAGGGTATGATGACTCACAATCAACCAAGTCAGTTAACTTATTTGAACCCGGAATCCCCATGCATGTTCCTTCTTGTGTACTCTGGCCAAGTCATTCATGTGGAAGAATGAGTGATGAGGTTAGGGTAGATTGAGGAAATATCACTTTCGCATTAGTTTGGAAGCGATCACTTTTTGTTAAATTATGGCTGTGAATATGTCATCGCTGGATTTTATGGTGTGGCTTTTCAGTCGAGTACACAACATCCTGAATAGAACTGTTCAATGCTGTCACGCCTTGTTCCAGCATTCACTGGTTAAAGTGCTGTGACTAAGGCTTTGGGTGACCGGGATATCACGATTTGATCTCACAGGTCATGGAGTCAGTGTGTAGGAAAATAGTTTACCTCATATAACACATCACAGCTTTGGATGTATTGAGAAAGGGGAGGGAGTTTGGTTTTATGCCACTTTGAACAGTATTTTAGTAATATCACATGAAAGTTTGATATGTAAAAAAAGGGGCACAGGTGGCCTAGTCATATAAGGCGCGTTCCTTGGGCACTCCAGAAACCTATGGGTTCGAATCCCGGTTCGCCCCAATTATGTTTGTCATGGGTTTCACGAAAGTGGTACACGTCTGAGACCTGCATCACTTCGGGCTTTCCTCCCTAATTAAGCTGACACCATGATATAACTGGAATACTGTTAACAGCAGCAATAAAAACCCAACTCACTCACTAATATGTAAAAAGCATTTAGTGAGGTAGATATGAGAAATTTATTTCTTTTTTTAACCCATGAGCAGTGGTATGGTGCTGACAGACCAAAGATCATGATAGGAGCGAATCTGGGATTTGAATATTGGTGTAAGCGAAACTCACACAATACCTGTAGTGAGTGCCTATGCTCCTGACTGTGTTTAGAATCAAGGAAACAGTGCAGATATGGTATAGTGACAGGCAGGTGATGGGGTGTCTGTACACCACAGATGAGAGGCCTCAGATATGAGGGGAGCTGTGATGGTTCCTATGCCCAGGTTTTGTGATGAGTGAAGCTATCAGTTTATGGATATAAACACCGATAGTTGATTACATTCATGGAAGCTGGTAGACTCTGGTAGGCAAAGTTGTTGAAATATTTTTTGTTGACAAAGTGATGAAACTTGTCTGCAGATAAACATCCTTTGATAAGGACATCACAAACTACATTTCATGGTTTCAGGAAAAACATAAATTTCTATGAATAAATTCATATCACATGACGATAGATTGGGGAAATATCACTTTCTCATTAGTTTTGAAGTGGACTTTTTTGTTTGTTATGTTAAATTACGGCTGCAAATGTGTCATCGCTGGGATTTATTGTGAGGCTTTTCAGTCGAGTACACAACATCCTGAATAGAACTGTTCAATGCTGTCACACCTTGTTTCAACACTCACTGGTAGAAGTACTGTGACTAAGGCTTTGGGTGACTGGGATATAAAATTTGAACTCACAGGTCATGAAGTCATGAAGTGTGTAGGGAAATAGTTTTCCAGTTTAACACGTCACAGCCTTATAGGTAGCAGTAAGAATGGGGGAGGGATTTTGGTTTAATGTTGCTTTGAACAGTGTTTCAATTTATCCCTGGTGTCAGCTTGATGTGGCCAAAAAGACTGTAGTGATGCATGTGTTGGACATTTACCAGTCTGGTGACACCCAAGCATGGGTATGGCGCAAACACACCTAGAAATACAATCAGGGCAAATCTCAGGTATTCAAACCCACAATTATTGGTGAGAAGCATTTTGAAATAAAATCATGCAATACAAAAAGGTTTAATACTTTGTTCTAACTTAAATATACCGTATTCTACATGATAAGCACCCAGGGCACTCTCAAAATTAGAAATAGGGGGCTCTTATTAGAATATTATTTTGTTGAAAAAAACAGAGTTGAAAGATCGTTAATTTCATGGTTAATGCTGACAGCCTGAAATGTTTATATATACAACAGATATATTTTCCCAGAATTTAATTGCCCATAATCAAAGGTTCATATAACACACGAATGTGAATTATTCACGAATACATTTAAGTCTTGTGTACATTGATCAATCAGAAGGGGTGCAAATTGGGATGTTAACTTGCCAATTTATTAGCAAATATCGCCGTGGGTGCTTATTAGAGCGGGGTGCTTATTATGTCGAATACGGCATGTTTACCATTCTACTGTGTTCCCCTTACTGTTTTTTAGGTTATCACACTTATTGTGAATGGATATTGTAATTATTATGGTGAAGCTACAACAAATTTATGTTACCGACATGTTTTAATGTGATATTATAAAAGAATTAACACAAATTCAAAATTGAAAGAAACAGCTGTTCAATCGAGCTGAGCTATGTCATGTGACTTCCATTGACTCAGAAAAAGCATGCGGCTTTTTGCTTTGAAGCCGGGTGTAAGGGATTTATTCTGCCTCTGAGAAATCCATGTGCAGCCTGTATTGCCCATGGCGGTGTATAAGAGATTTATTCCCCCACTGAGAAATTTATTCCCCCGAAGGTGGGTTAAACAGTATTTTAGCAAGGTCACATGGACCAATCAGATATCATCATTCTGACATGGCGGTATGACAATCTAAGTTGGAAATCTTGTCCCCAATCCATTTTACTATTGTGAATAAAGTATGTTTAAAAGATAAACAATCAACAACTAAGCTCTTTTCAGTGCCAATTCATCACTATACTATGTGTACTGAAGGGAATGGTGTCAGCAAACACTGTATTACAGCAAAATACTCGTGTGGAATACAGAAAACAAACAAATTACAAGGAAAGGCATAGTATGGCATCAACAAACAAACAAACAAATCAACAAACAAACCAAAAGTGGTGGGACAATATACCGATGCATTGGCGGATCGCGAGTTTTTACTCCTTGATACAAGTATCGATCGCAGTCGCACACAAAGTAAAAAATAGCGATTCTGACCTTGAATGTTTGCTTTAATAACTGTTCCTCTAAACACTAATCACTAGTGCAAGTTAATAGTGAAAACATACATATTTTCATTTGTTGTGCCATACTTGACACTGCCAACTGTAAATCGTCAGTGTGCCAGGTATTTGGCCATCCTCTCTATGAAAAAGATGGCTTACGCACCACAGATAAGAGTGCATGTAAGTATTGTGATACATATCGGATCGTGAGTAAGGTATCGTGATACGTATTGGATCGCACAGTTGGTGTATCGTCCCAGCCCTACTTACCAATATCTTCTCAGCTTTTTTTTTGATATTTCTATATACATATTACAATATAGTAATTCTTGTCATGAAACAACCACCTCTGTGGCCTAGTGGATAGAGCGTTTGCCCGGGGAGTGGAATGTGAGTGGTTTGATCCCAGGACAAGTCATACCAAAAGTCAATAAAAGATGGTACTTGTTGTTATCCTGCCTGGCACTCACATTAATGGGATAAAACAAGGACTGGTCAGCTCCAAGTCAGTAAAGGCTGAGTGACGTATCTTTGTTGCCATGGTATCTAAATGGGCTGGCGCTTTAAAACCGGCATTCGTCGTGACTAAACTGACTTACAAAAGAAAGTTTACTTACAACTAAAAATGAAACAAAGAAGAAATGGTTTTGTGATGGTTATGTATTTGATACGGGTATCATAGTTGTGTTTTGTACCTTAAGTTTGCGGTGGTTCGGCGATGGTTTTCAGCCTTGTAACGTTTTTGGTAACATTTTTAATTTTTTAGTCAAATCCAATTTTCAAGTAAATGCTTTCCTTTGCCCAGCAGTTTGGTACAAGCAGACACATGCATACTCACTCACTCACTCACACACTCACACACTCACACACTCACATACTCACACACTCACACACTCATGCTCACATGCTCACACTCACACACTAACACACACGCTCAATTGCTCACACACTCACACTCACACACACGCTCACATGCTCACACACTCATGCTCACACACACGCTCAATTGCTCACACACTCACACTCACACACACACTCACACACTCACACACTCACACACACATGCTCACATACTCACACTCACACACACGCTCACATGCTCACACACTCACACGCTCACACACACGCTCACATGCTCTCACACTCACGCTCACACACACTCACACTCACATGTTCACATGCTCACACTCACACACTCACATACTCACATGCTCATGCGTTCAAACACTCATGCTCACATGCTCTCACACTCACGCTCACACTCACACACTCACACTCACACGCTCAGACTGACACACGCTCAGACACAATTTCATACACATCACTATATAATGTGTGTTAAACCCCCTTTCACGTCAACTTATCACAATACATGCACAATACATTAATGTTATAAGCGTGGCATACAGTTATTATATCCCAACAGTGGTATATATACACGTGATCTATGACTGTATCAATGTTTCTGTAAACTCTTCCAGTACACTTTCTTACCAGGGACTTCTTGAGTAACAGTTAATTCGTGGTTGTAGTAGTTGTAGTAGTTGCCATCAAATTTAATAAAATGTTTAAAACATGTGTATAACAATAAAACTTTATCCCTTTGCTCTATATAAACGTAAGCACCATGGTTTGTCAATAAATAAATAAATTTCTGTAATGCAAACA